CTAGGAGCAAGGATGCTACGAACGGGGCTCCTGGCCTTACGACTAGGAGCAAGAGGCCATCCCTAATCCCTAGGTTGGAGGCCTTCAATTCGAATTCAAGCAATTCAATGGCATGCAGGACCTTCTGGATCCATCGTCTGTCGGTGTCGCGGTGCAAGTTTACGTGGTTTACGTGAGTGATCAACATGATTAACATGATGTAAAAAATGGCTGCAAACATGGGTAGTAACAAGAAGCTACTAGGAACAAGTGCATCGCTAGTAGTAACAAGTGCCTTACTAGTAGTAACAAGGTTCGCTACTAGGAACAAGTCAAAGAAAGTCATAGTATTCAAACCCGTGACCGGTTCAAGACAAGGCACCTGCCGACCAGCTGCCAGGGATCGATAGAATGCCTTTTGCGCGCCAGCTGGCTCTGTATTTGCAACCACCAAATAAATTGCAAATTCAAAGAAGAAACATGGAGCGACTTCTCTGGTTGTTGCGTGTGGACATGTGTGGACCATGTCGCATGGAGCTTAGACTTCCGCTCAAAGTGTCAAACTTAAGTGCTCTTCCTTGGGGTGAATTCAGCCGAAACGTACTGTAAAAGCGCAGTTGTTTGGCGGTGTCGTCACTCATTTAAGTGCTCTTCACTCACTTCCCATATCTTCCCATGTTCACTTTCATCATCTTTCATCCCTTCATCCGCCTTTGTGAACGTCTTGCAAGCTCCATCGAACACTCGTCCACGGCAGCAAATCACATGAGGCACGCCGGCTTCCATGAAAGCTCCTCACGTAGCAGTTCACTGAACCGGGTTACTGGGGTTACATTGTACAAAGACACATAGACACATGTTACCTGATTGCTCTCAATTAATCTTAATTTTGCTACTCGGTTGGCGGCCATCGCTTCTAGGTTGGAGCTAGGTTGGAGGCCATTGCTATAAGGTTGGAGGCCATCATCGATCTTCATTGTTGCTACAGTGTTAAGAGTTTTATTATCGCTTCAACTGCTTTGGCTCAAGCACTCAAAATGAAGCCGCTGCCGCAGTTCGTCCGTTTATCAAAGCACGAGAGTGAGATCAGTGCTCGCTGGCCATGCCTTGGGTTTGCTGAATCTGGCATTTTCCATCGCAAGGCTGCAAAAGGTTCGGAACAATTCTGCACCGATGTGAAGAAAGCGCTGAACAGTTCAGCGCCCTATTCTCGGTCGAAGGTGCATGCGAACCGCATGCGAATAGAGCCGTGGCTCTAGCCGCGAGTCTGTGGAAATAGCCGAACGCGCCTTGTCACGGCGCTCGGTTTGGCTCGGTTTTGCCGGGGAACCGTTCGTGCGGTCATGCGCGCTAGCCCATGCTCTTTGACTTGGGACGAGCTCTGCCTGGCACCAGCATAAGTTGAGGAGTCTGGTATGCGATATGCTCTATGGGTACCGTTTGCTCGCGTACGAAGCTCTCTCTCTCTCTCTCTCACGTTGACGAACTTTGCAAAGTTTGAGATGCTGCATGGGATGCAGCATGCCTCAGGGATGCTGCATGTGGAGAGCATGCGGCAGATGCCAGATGCAGCTTGCGGTCACACACCTCTGATAACTCGAAAGTCAACAGCTTTTCCACCTTTTCGTTCAGTTGGTCGTTCTTTTCTGCCTTCGAGAAGGATTGAACTCCAAACAACCCTCTCCAGAAGAAGTTGAACATGTCTTCTCGCCATTGTCACTCAAATATAACATAACGTACTTTGAGTTTGTGACCTCCTTAGGCAGATTGAGAATCCCAAGGTCGCTCAAATTACACATGGCGCCCGGTACCCGCAATCGGCTGTCATGCCTCTGCCCCGCCGCCCTGTGTCATCTTCGTGTCACACCGTGTCCTGCAATTCCTTCGGAATCACAACAATTCAGGAAGACACCACTCAAGGGACATTTCTGACCTCAGCGTTGAAGGCCATCGCTAGTAGGTTGGAGGCCAACATCGCTAGTAGGTTGAGGCCATCATCGCTGCTAGGCCGGAGGCCATCGCTAGTAGGTTGAAGACCATCGCTAGTAGGTTGGAGGCCATAGCTAGTAGGTTGGAGACCATCGCTAGTAGGTTGGAGGCCATCACTAGTAGGTTGGAGGCCATTGCTTTATATAGTTCTAATTATAGAATTCATTTGGTTGGAATTCGGTTGAATCTATCTTCGATCTCGGCGCCTTCGTCGATGCCTTCGTGGCCGAGACACCTTCCCTCTGGCGAAGCCACTGCAAGAGACGCCAGCGGGGCAAGGGCTGAGGACCTCCTACCTCATCCTCCAACAGGAGAAATGGCCTCAACACGGAACTGGAGCGCATCTCCGGAGATTGGGTGGAGTATGGTGAAAGCATTTCCATATGAGTTCAATCCTGCTTCGGAAGCCCTCCATAGGGTCCATAGCCTATTTATAGCTCATGATAGCTCGCCATCTAGCTCTGTGCCACCTGACCGAATCGAGACACGAATCTGAATGACTCAACAAATTGTGCAGCGCAGGCAAGGCAGAATACAAAACGCATGATCTAAAGCCCCTCGCAAGTTGCAGCTATCTTTTCTCGAAACTCCTCAAGCTGGCTTGCCATCGCTGCTAGGTTGGAGGCCATCCCGAAGCTTATCTTTGTCCTTTTAATAAAACTTCATGGTGACCTTCCTCATATTTGCGAGCAACAAACCTCGGACAAACCAGCAGCTATCTTCCCCCATCTTCCCATCTTGGCCATGAGGCTCTAAACCATGCGTGCTTGCAGCGTATCCTGCATGCATGGCACCTGGCCAGAGACATTATTGGGGAGTGGGCAAACCGGGCAAAACTGTGCGAGGTTCTTCGCCACTAAAGACCGGGGGCTGGCATGGCGCCAGCAACTCCAGGCTTTAACTGAGCTTGAATTTCGGATGATCATCGAAACATAGAGTCCCTGAGCCATTGAACACTTGATGCAAACGATGTGCCAACACCGAGCTGGCAGAAATCTGAGCAACGTGAAGTACACACTTCTCAACCGATATTTTCCTCTAAGTTCAACCAAACCCAATCAATGCCCATGATTGCCGACTTCTGGAAGGAACCGGATTCTTGTTTCGACAAGTTTATGGCCGCACTGGAAGACTTTGACAAATCCAAGCGTGGAGGCTTGTTCGCTTGAATACTAGAAGCGATGGCCTCCAACCTGAGGCTAATTTCTGAATCAATTGAGAGGCTCAAACATGCCCATCGCCACAATGGAGGAAGACTGGGGCGCCAGGGTAAGCTCGATCACCATGGGCCAACAGCTCTAAGAGCGTTGAAGAGAGGCCCAAGCGCACGTCGATCTCGACCTCGATCGAACTGTCGACGCTTTTTTTGTCGCTGATTTTCGTCACTGATGCGAAGGCGATGTCGAGAAAGATCCCACCTGAAGGAGCTACTAGTAGCTTCTTGCTCCCAGTAACGATGCTCTTTGTTCCTAGTAGCTTCTTGTTACTAGTAGTAATGCCAGGAGCTACTAGAAGCGTCCTTGCTCCTAGTTGTCAACTTGTTTCACATCCTGCGTTTTTTGCGTCACTTATCTCCAAGAGCTGTACCTTGCTGCTTAGAACCGCTGAGAGCTCTGCCCTGTACTCCTGCTCGCACAAGGCTTCCCTGAGCCGGGGCTGGCTTTGGGTTGTTTTTAGAGTGGATCAGTTTTCATGTTTTCATCCCACAACCCGGGTCCTGTAGCCAAGGCAGGGAAACCTTGAAAGCATTAGGGTCTGGTCTTTCTGATTTCTTCCCTTCCAATGTTCCATCTCTCTTAGCTCGGAGGCCATCTGGAGGCCATCGCTGGTAGTTTGGAGGTCATTGCTAATACGTATAAACAAAGAAAAAAGAAAAGGAAGAAAGGTCTAATATAGTTTGCTCTTAGGTTAGAGGCCATCGCTCTTAGGTCCAGCACTTCCTTGCACCAGCAGAACATGTCAGAAGATGAGAAACGGACCGGTATGGATACTGTTTGATTCTTCGTGGAACCATAGATGAGCTCACCACCGAGGTAGCATGAACAGAAGAAACCTGGTGGCTCCGCCTGCCTTTGCAATGCAAACATCATCTCATTTCTTTTACTTTCCTTAGACCTTGAAACCGTTTTCCTTTCTTTCTTCCCTCCCCTTGATACTGCTCTTCAGCAGTTCACACATTACTTCGACGCTTCGCTTCGCGTATCATGCGGCCTCAAGAGTTGTAGCTCAGCACGGATGTCGAGAGCATCCACAGTCAGTGGTGAGGCATACAAGAAGTACATCAGCCCCACCTGGAAACACATTGGTAGAGGCCATCGCTATTAGTAGCAAAGGGCATCGCTACTAGTAGCAAGGGCGCTATGAACGGGGCTCCTGGCATTACTAGCAGCAAGAAGCTATTAGGTTGGAGGCCATCCCTAGTAGGTTCATCGGCCGATTCTTTGAGTCAAACAACGCTCCGTGCATCGCAATTCTGAAAGCACCAAGAGTTGCTAGCAAATCCCATTGTAGGCAAGCAGGATTTGATCCACAAGCACGGTGGCAGAACATGTTCGAGAAGTATCCTTTCGTCCAGATTCTGTTCTCCCTCAGAACTGGCACAAATCCCCAAGATATGTTTGATAGAATCCCAAATCAACAATGATTCCAAATTTACACACATTGGAGAGTACTTGTACTGGTCCAGTGTGTTGATTGCCAGTGTTGTCTCCAACTCTGCATCCAGACAAGGGGAAGTGTGGGAGGGCAAGCGGGTATGACATCTGCAATACTAGCAACAAGAAGTTACTAGTAGCAAAGGGCATCGCTTCCAGGAGCAAGGACTCTACAAACGGGGCTCCTGGCCTTACTACTAGGAACAAGAAGCTATTAGGTTGCTGCCTCATGGCTTGCGGCACCTCTCTCTGCACCTCTCTCCATGGAGATCCTCCGCCCCATCCCCGAAGTGGCCCAGAACAACCTGTAGCCTACCATATCGTAGAGGGGAGCCTTTTTGGCGAGAGCATCAATCCTGAAGAGCAAAGGGACACTCCTTTTCATTCCTTTCCGCCGGAAGCTGTGGACAGTAAATCAAACCATAAAAATGAGAGAAGACAGTGATGTCCGGCACTTCCTCGACGGGTGCTTCCATGAGTCCAAGCAAACTCATCGAAGACTATAGTGTTGCTGCGCGGAGGGATGCCCTTCCGTCTTTTCCAAACTGCATTCACACGGCCACGATGCATGGCAACCAAAACCAATTTCACGCAAGCCAGTCTTTGAATCGACGGAGTGACCATTGGCCACGATGCTCGTGCACCAGCCTCTGCAAGACCTGATGGTTCTGCTCCATGACTCGCATGGCACCCTCGAAGTGCTCCACGTAGAGATCATGGATCCGCCCATTCACCGAGATGGCTGGGTCACTCGCGTCATACTCCGTGCGCGAGCCGAAGGAGTCGCGGAGTGGAAGATGCTCGAAGGGTGAAAGGCCAACGCACGCTTTCTCCTGGAGGTCGACTGCCCAGTCTTCAACGGGCGGGGGGGGGTTCTTTGCCCTCCTTTTAGCTTGCATTTCTTGCTCCGTTCGTAGCGATGCCGGGAGCCCCGTTCGTAGCGTCCTTGCTCCTAATAGTAAGGCCAGGAGCCCCTAGTAGCGTTTAGCTCGCATTTCCAATTCTTTTTAATTACTTGATTAAGTAGGCACCTACTCAATTGAGGGAAAACTTGTACGCTCCTAGCTACTGGACGGAGAGAAACGGACAAACGAGATCACCTCAGTGTTGGACTGTCTTCCCTCAAAAGTGCCAAGGGCGAAGGCGGCGAAGGGCTGTTGAATCAACAGTCAGAACCCAAACTTGCACGCGGAGAGTATGTAGAGTCTCCACAAGTCTCCTACAGATCCATGGAATAGCAATGGCCTCCAACCTAATAGTAATGGCCTCCGAGAACCACGGATCAATGATCAAGGCTTCGTCTTCAGGTCGGCTCCTCTTCGGGAGCTTCGTCTTCCGGAAGCTCTTGGGGCTGAAGACTCGCTGGGAGGTCTGCAAGACATCTCATCGGAAGTTCCTCTCGTGGCTCCGTTGGCTGAAGCGTCACATGCACTTGTGCTAGTAGCCTGGGCTCTGAGATGAGTTGAATCTGTGAACATCTGCCGAGTCCAACCAAACCTTTTGAACACCAATTAGCAATTCTATCGTCTGCAAATGCCAAATCAAACAGCAGCCCCTTGAACTGTTTTTGAGGGTGCAACGCATTTGGAACGCCAACCATTTGCGACTGCCATTGCAGCTTCTGAAAAAGTACCAGGCATTTCCACACACGTTTGCCGATGTAACTTGAGGGTGCATTGGCACAACAGCTTATCGGTGCGTACCTTGTGCATACCCTCCGAGAAACAGCGTATGGGCGTTGAAGGATTGGCACACACACAGAGTGTCCATGCACAGAACTGTTGAAGGGCCTTGAAGTTTTGGGGCTTTGTGGATCAAACCCTTTTCTCCTTTTCTACAGCCACGCAGTGGTCTCTGCAACAGCCTGTAGGGAAACATTTTTTGGGACCAATCCTTTCGTCCGATTCTAGGAATCTTGTACGAGCTCAATGACTTAATATCCATGTTAACCCTGAGCATGACAACTAGATTCAGCTACCTGCTCTGACATCACAAGGAACTCACCAGCCAACGTGGTGCACTGGTGCTGGATCTTTGCGCCAGACATGGGATGCAACTTTGCAAGAGTCTAATCTAGAAGCAATGGCCTCCAACCTAATGAGTCTTCCTCACAGCCTCTTGCTGGCTCGAGCCCAAAACGGTTTTGGAGCGTCATGTACAATTCATCAGGCTGGCCATGCATGGCCACATCCATCTCAACCGATCCACGGCGTCAAATTAGACACCAAACAACACAGAGCCACGAAAACACCAAGGCAGCACCCTTTATGGTAACAAGAGGACGCTACTAAGGGCTCCCGGCCTTACTACTAGGAACAATAACGGTTATAACGCTACTAGGGGCTCCTGGCATCGCTACTAGGAGCAAGGAGGCTACTACAGGCTCCTGGCATCGCTACTAGGAGCAAGGAGGCTACTACGGGCTCCTGGCATCGCTACTAGGAGCAAGGAGGCTACTACAGGCTCCTGGCATCGCTACTAGGAGCAAGGAGGCTACTACGGGCTCCTGGCATCGCTACTAGGAGCAAGGAGGCTACTAGGGGCTCCTGGCATCGCTACTAGGAACAAGGACGCTACTAGGGGCTCCTGGCATCGCTACTGTACTAGGAGCATTCATACTACGAACGTAACAAACACCCAACTCCCGTGTGGCCCGTGTGCCTTGTTGGATTCGCTCTCCTGGTCGAGTTCGTATGGAAAACATGAGTTGCAATACTCTTTTGCGACGCGGTAACAGTGTCCTTTTCGTTCTTCCAGATTAGAAACGGAGCGTTACTTTTACTTGTTTGCTTGATGTCCACATGTCTAGTGTTGAACAAACGGTTTTGACTAATTCTGACATTTATAGAGTTTAGAAAGGCACAATGGCTTGTGGCGGGGTGAACAAGCAGGGGTGGAGAAGCAACTCGTCAGGGACACTATATGACTGACCATATATACATATAAGAGTACATATAAGATGTGCACCCTTTTTTGCGTCTAAGTGTAACCCCGCAAATGCCGATAGCACCAGTGCTCGCGGAAGACTTGCCAGCACAAAGGGCTTTCCCCAAGCAATAGACTAAATGGCCGGATCAATCCTTGCTTGATCACCAATTGAAACGAGCCCCTCTCATAGAATATGGGCTCTCAGTAGTAGGAAGCCATAGGAAGCCATTCTTTTCGGGCCGAGCACTGTGATGGCCATCAGGACTGCACATGACGCGCCTTACCCAAGGACTGCATGGAGGCGCTTGCTTCGAGGGTCGGGATAGGAACCTGGGACGCCGAAGAAAACCTAGACCACTACAGGCGAGACACCTCACCGGATGATTGCGCAAGTCATTTTACCTGCTATGTTTTTGCACTCTAGGCCTTGTTTTGCATGTGTCAGGGTCTTTTCATGCAAAACTGGACGAGATCTGAGACATTCTAAGTTTCTACGGCAGGTGACCGTTCTCTTCTCCACGCCCGGCAAAGATGGCCGATGCTCTCTGGCAGACTCCGGAGCTTCCTCGATCTTTGCGAGTCTGTTGCATCGACCAAGAAGCGGAACATCAAAATCAGAGAACAACACCCAGCAGGGGAAAAGACACAAAAAACACCTCCCATCTCGTTTTCCTTCATTTTCCAATTCCAATTCATCCACTGATTTTCCCCTTTCTTTCCTCCTACTGACTTTCCCCGTTTTTCTTGCTTCGATCCGTTTCGCTGGGACGCGCGTGACCCGGCGGTTTCGCCGAAAGCGACTTGCCGAGTCTCGGGAGTCTGCAGCGCCTGCAGCTCTGCTGGCGGATCTTCCACCGAGAGCGAGCGCCGGGGAGGTGATCCCGGGTCCTGCGCGGTGTTTTACACTGGTCAAAAGTGTATTTGTTTGGAAAAAGAACAATTCTTTTTTAACGTGATCTTTATGAAACCATTTGTTTTACCAGGGATCTTGAGACTACAAGACCAGGTCAACCATTCTTTTTGACGGTCTTTGAAGGTGAGGGTTTGTGTCTTTGGGCGGCTTACCTCTTCGGATGTTTTTGCCTTTTGGTTCCGTCCTTCCTTCGGTTCGTGCCAGGGGTCCGTTTCTCCTAGCGCCCGATCGCTCCTAGTAAAGCAATCATGCCCCCTAAAATCACTATCATAACGTGTGCTGCTCGCAGTTCGTGTGCATCTACGCCCCTCGCACCATTTTTTTTGCAGCTTCTCGCTGCTTCTCGCAATGATCGGCAACTCCGTGTCCTCCACGAGCCGATCCTCGCCGTCCAAAGTCTCTTGGCGCCAATGAAATGCCCAGCTCGCCTGGCGCGAACAAACCTACGCCGCTACGCCCGCTACGCTCGGTTGGAGACCAGCTACTAGGAACAAGTGCATCGCTAGTAACAAGTGCCTTACTACTAGTAACAAAGAAGCTATTAGAAACAAGTGCATCGCTAGTCGTAACAAGAAAAAAACCTGCCGTGACATCGCTCGCGACATTTAGCGCCTTTTCCAAGGTCACCGGTTCGTGGCTCCGGCGGCAAACCACCACCTCTTGGCGGTGACGGTGGGGAAGGAGTTTAAAGCAAAGCCTTTGGAGGATTTAGCCAGAATCAGTGGTTAGCAAGAAAGCAATAGTAAGAGTTAATAACTAGCAAGAACGCTGGCAAAGAATCCGTGGTTTTGATTTAATGATGTTGAATAGCCACAGCAAAGCACAGTGGTTTGATCTGCTTCAATCCACGTCTGAAAGGAACGTGGAAACATCCAAAAAGCACATGGTCAGCACATGCGAGGAGTTGTCATCGAACTCGTTAGGTCTCTTGATCTGACAAGAGCTGATCTCCAGGGTTTTGCACTTGTGACACGAGTTCCCTTCCTGATCTCCAGGGTTTTCCTACTGAAAGATCTGTAAACCTCCGTTCCTGTAGTATCCGAACTGCAGTCTGAGATAGTCTAGCAAGCTCCGTTACGCTGCCTCTGACAACTCGGACACGTCTATGACATGGGGAGATCCAGAGTGATGACAATGAGGACAAAGCACTCCTGGCCGCGATTTCGGCGTGAAACAGCTGGATATTTTTTGGACTCCAAATGATTGTGACATAGGACATGTGGATACCTTGGCAGTCATGATTGAGTTGGAGACCTTGTGTTAGTCTTTGGCCTGGGAAAATGGGAAAAACACTTCCTATCAGCGGCACAAGACATAGGACTGCACCCTTCTTTCATTCTGCATCAGGATCTTGAGACATGTTGTTTCTTCCACTGCGTTGATTCGTTCGCTTCAGTCACGAGCGGACTGGGATGCTACGGCCGAGGCCTTGGACCATGCCCCACTACCGTATCACACCTTTGTGCGCCCAAAGAACAGCACAGGGCTGGAGCCCAAAGCAGTCTGAATGATCGCCGACCTTGACTTGCCAGCATTGTCTATGTCTATGTGACACTGTCTAGGTCTAGGCGTATGACATAAGACCTTATCAAACTTCCGACTTTGTGTAAATCTCCAACAAGTGCCACGCTACTAGGAACAAGTGCCACGCTAGTAGTAACAGGTGCCTTACTAGTAGTAACAAGAAGCTATTAGAAACAAGTGCATCGCTACTAGTAACAAGTGCCTTAATTCAAATTGTTCTGTTGTTGGGACCCGTCGCCAGGAAGAACGGCCTGCTGCTAGTTTCTCAACGTTGACAATAATTTCGTGGAACCATCATGAGATGGGGCAATGTGTTGGGCACCCGGTAAGGTCGCAGAAAAAGACTTCAGGTCTCACAAATCTATGGGACAAACATGGCTCTTAGGTTGGAGGCCATCGCTATTGGAAACAAGGACAATTCATGAACATTCAGAAAAAGGAAGAAAGGTTACTAGTAGCAAGAATGCTCCTAGTAGCGATATGCTAGGAGCCCCGTTCGTAGCTTCTTGTTTGCTACTAGGTGGAGGGCATCGCTACTTTGTGTCTCGGCCCCTTGATCAGCTGTCTCCTGCCGTGAAAGACAGGTGGGGCAACCATTCGGAGGTGCTCTCCTCGATCGTCCGGTGTCAATGCGCCGAAGAACATGGATCCAACAAGACATGAATGGCCTCCACCCCAATAGCAAACAAGGACGCTACGAACGGGGCTCCTGGCATCGCTACGAACGGAGAAGGGGCGCTACGAACGTGGCTCCTGGCCGTACTACTAGGAGCATTCTTGCTACTAGTAACCTTTCTTCCTTTTCTTTTTTCTTTGTTTCTAGTAGCAATAGCCTCCAACCTAATTGCAATGGCCTCCAATCTAGTAGCGATGACCTCCACCCTAAGTGTGATGGCCTCAGCCCGACTAGAGCAATGTCTTGACATAGAGCATAAACGCCCAAATTACCCCTGAGCAACAAAAGATCTGAACCTTCAGAACGAGTCCTTCACAGAACTAGCTACGACTCACATGCAAATGGGTATGTTCAACAAACACGGCGCTGGGCCGCAGGGCAAACAAACACCCGCACGGGTTTGAACAGCGACCCATAACAACATTTCACCCCGAGTAATTATCTGAATGTGGTGTGTGTAGTAACAGCATCAGTAGCAGTGGTGTTTCTATGTACTTCTGCACACCACTTCATGGCATCATCTGCTAGTAACAAGAAGCTACGAGTAACAAGTGCATCGCTACTAGTAACACGGGCATTACTACTACATGGGTCGTTTCGGCTTCCAAGGCTCATGGACCAAATTGATGACCTGTTTGGCCAAGTCCAGCGGAAGTTCACCGTTGTCATCTTCTTCCTGCCAGATGGCGAGTCCAGTTCGCTCGCGAGTTTAACGCTTCGTGGAGGGATTTTGCCACTGAATTCGAGCAGGAAAGTGACTTCCTCACTTACTTCATCCTATACTTCATCCTATTTCTCCTAAGGTTGGAGGCCATCGCTACTAGCTTGGAGGGTGTTTTTCGAACGCTTCCACCCTTTTGCTGTGCCTCGCCCCGATCCAGGCGCCGCACAGCGATCATCTCGGGGCGCACGGGCGGCAGCAGCTCGAAGCAGATCCGCCGGCGGCCCAGGAAGATGGTGCAGCTGTCCTCGGGAGTCCGAGGACGTCTTCTTCGCATGGGGTCTCTGGATTGAGATTCAGTGAGACATTCTCACACGAAAACCGAACAAAACTAAACACAATAAACACACATCATCACGAAAAAGGCCTCCAAGCTAGTAGCGGCAACCTCGCCTGCACTTAGCAACCTCTTTCTCTGAAATGGTCTCTTCGTCCGACTTCGTCCCTTCCAACTCCCAGTCTTTCCCTGAACCGTTTGGGTTCCGTCCACTCGACTGTCCCACCATTCGCCACGCCTTGAAGACCTGCGAATGTGTGAGCCGCAAGGAGGGCGTCTTGGCTGCACTCGCAATCAGTCGCGGGAAGACCGTGGGAAGGAG